AGAAATAATCAAATCTATATTACAATCTTAAAAACAGTAGAAAATGTGAGTAAAAATGCAACAGAGGCTTTTTCTCTTTAATGTGGAGACCGTTATTACAGGGTGGTGAACAATGGGCTTGTGTTATTCGATTTGAGAACTAGCTGTGGCATAAAAATCGTACCTGGCTACTCAAGAAAACATCTCTTCCCAGATGGATCAGCCTGACATCTTGGCAGTAAAATTAAATACTAGAGACAGAAAGGGGTCGGGGTCCCAACCCAGGGCAAGGCCTAATGCTCAGTTCTACCACCTACAAGGAGACCAGCCTCCTGGTGTCGCGTCACCTCCCTGGCCAGGCCGGCTCCCGCCTGTGCCAAGCTGAACCATTCAGTCCCAACACTGGCCGAGGGCTGCGCTGCCATCTGCACCGGTGCCCTGCGGGGCTGCTCTGGCCCGGAGGCTCAGCTTCGCCCCAGCCCTGGCCCCAGAGGACGCTCCCCAGCTGGGGGGACGCAGGCAGAGGAGGGCAGCCTGCGGCAGGCGCTGGCACCAGAACGGCTTCCTCTGCATTGCTGATCATATACAGCAGATTTGAGGGAACATCTGGAGCATCCGTGGGCCAGGCCCGTCCCAAGAGCTGCCAGCCGGGGTCCTTGCGGGTGGGGGAACCGGCTGACGGGCAGCAGCAGGCAGTGGTCGGTGCGGAGAGGAGCTGCAGCAGTTATTTCGTAGTGGTGTTAGTCACCCAGCAGGCCGACGGAGGGGAGGAGTTTTTGGTCTTTCAGTGTGCAGGACTAGCGTGGCCCTCTCGCTAGCACGTCCAGACCTGTGGAGGAGAGACAACAGGAACCCGTGGCAGTGACTGTTCTGAGCAGCTCTGTGGGCTTCTCTTTATCCTCCTGTGGAGCTTCCCTTTGGGCTTCCAGCATCCACAACACCCTCTGTCAGGAGTTATACCTCCCACCCCTTGAGAACCATCCCCTTGTTTGTTCGAAGAGGGCTCCTAACCATTTAACGCCCTATTTCTAGTACTGGAAGAGACCAAACCGTCAAGGAGAAGCCTGAGGAAACCAACCTTTACAGTGCTGTCCACAGCGCCGGAGAAGAGGCGGCCCCTGGAGACTGCGAGGGCGGTGACACTCCCCTGGTGTCGCAGCAGCGTCTGAGTACAGATCATGTTGTCCATGCTCCACACCTACGGGCACACGGGAGGCATCAGCTGAGTGAGCAGCACGGGGCTCTGGCACAACCCCGAGCACTAGGAGGGAAGGAGGATGCTGCGTGCCATGGGGTTCGAAGCAGGTGACGCAAATTAAATATGAGGCCACATGGCATGCAGAGATGAGGATCCCCTGTCCTCCCTTTTCCTCAAGGCTGTCTGTGTTTTAACAACAGTGCCAAATACACAGATGCAGCTGAACAGCCCCGGACACGTACCCTGAGAGACCGGTCATACGATGCACTGAAGACTTTGGTTTGATCTGGCGTGGAGATGACAGCGAGGGCGTAGACTGTACCCACGTGTCCAGTCAGCGTGCGGACTTGTTCCTTTGTCTCTATATCCCAGACCTGCGGGAGGAGAGCAGGGCTCAGAGATCACACTGGGCTGCAGGCCACCGACTTCTCCTCAGAGAGGTGTTTCCACCTTCCACACACACCTCCAGGGTGGGTGCTGTGCACCCATGCTCTGGGTGTGCCATAAAGGGGACCAGCAGAGCCAGGCGCCCATCTCCCCGCCCCTCTCCCCCAGCCTCAAGCCAACAAATGCATCAAACCCCGCGGCCCTTACATGGATGAGGTTCTCGTAGGTGCCACACACAATGTGGTGGTTTGTCACAGCGATGGAGTAGACGCTGCCTCCTGACGTCTGCAGCACGTGGACACACTCCAAGTTGCGGATGTCCCAGATCTGAAAGAGATGCCGGAGCAAAGGCAGGATGAGACCCATGCAGGGACCCCTCTCCAGGAGGGAGCTCCCTTGAAGCTCTTCTCCAGCCATGCACAGAGGCAGCCTGGCTCCATATGTCCCTGGATCACATCTTTAAGGACAAATCTGTCTGCCTAGGAATGTTCAGAACTGAAGAGCACAGTCCTGCTATCTTATTTAGCTGCCCAGCTTTGAACATCCAGGCTGACAAAGTTGTGGAGACTGCACACCTTGTGCGTGTGACTATGCACACACATGTGCACACACGACCCAGTCCTCAATAGCACTAAAAACCTGATGCAGGCAAATTAACAGGGATTTATTAACACTGAGGAGGGCAACCTCAAATTCTCTTGTGTCACCCAGATGCTCAGAGGTGAACTATTCATCAAAGCCTGAGCCAACACAGATTGAGGGCGTTTCGGAAACCACACACAGATTTATGGTAACTCTGCAGCCAGACAGTGACCTTCTCCTCTTATCAGCAGGACTGTCAGCGCAGATAATGCTGCGGCAGCGGCGGAGGCAGCGTGAGGTGCCATGGCTGTGAGGCCACATTTTATCTTAGCGAGCATCCCCTAGCAGCTGCGCTCCCAAGGACCAGCCAGAGCGCAGCCTTTGTGCCTGCAAAGATGCAATCAGCGCAGTAAAATCTAGTGTGTCAGCAACGCCACAGCCGTGCTCTCACATCCTAGCAGCTACCTTTTGTCCTGCTCCACCAACCCATGCCGCAGAATACAGATACGCAGAGGCAAGGGGAGAGCCGATGGCTTACAGTTGCCATGAGTCTCAGGGTCCCACCTTGATTGTTTGGTAAGATCCACTGTAGAGATAGTTTTGAGAAGCCACCAGTGCTCGCACCCAGTGATTGAGACCTGTCAGTTCCTTCTTCAGTTTGAGCTCGGTACCTACAATATCCCAGACCTGTGGAACGCACAGACACACAGACACGGTGGAGAGTCTCAGTGGGACTGGGCAGTGATGGGGCAGAACAGGTCAGCCTCCAGCTCGGGAGCCCGGCGCTGCCCACCCCAGCCCAGCCAGCCAGCGCAAGGCCCTACCAGCTCACAGAGTGGAACATCGTGCTGGCTCTCCTGCCCGGTGGGAATCACCCAAACCCACTGACTTTCAGATAAAAGACACGATAACTATGCTGAATAAGCATGTCCCCTGAGGGCCTGGGAGAGCCAGCATTATCACTGGCAGAGACCCTTCCCCAGCAGAGCCATGGGCTTGAAAAACCTAAACCAAATCTACAGTAAAGAACTGCTCTGGACTTCCACTCCCAGCCTGTCCCCACAAAGCTCCATTCCCACAGCTCCGGCGAAACAGTGTGATGAAACGCCCAGCACGCAGGGACCGGCAGATCTCACCTGCCACTCCGAGCAGTGCTACTGGCCTGCTCGGCTCATCTGGCAGAAAATGGCTGGGGACGCCAAAATCAAAAGGCCCCAAGTTCTCCTTCTGCTTAGTGCTGTCTCATTGCTCCTCCCGCCCCGGGCGCTCTCTAGATAGCTGAACCACTCCAGGCCCCAGATAAAGAAAAGAGCATGCGCCCTCTTACAGATGGACGGTCCCATAAGCTGCCTCACCAGGAGCTGGAAGCAGAAGCAAGGGAATCTAGCCAAGGCTTTAAAGGGCAACTTGCAAAGCTGTTCCCTGATTTCTGCATGCTTTAGGTAAAGAATGCAACTCAAGATCCTTTGGAGGGGGTTCCAAAACAGGCAGCCTGAATCCCCAGCCAATTCTGGACCCTAGACACCATTCCCAATGGTCTGAGTAGGTCCGCTGGGGACCCAAGGACACGCACACTCAGGAACTGCCAAGATACTCCACCTGCAATCTCAGGTTTACAGGGTTAGACGAAACAAAGTGTTTTTTCAGCCAGGTCCCAGAAAAATCTTTGACTTCAGCACAGAGCATGGGCTAAACCTCTGCAGTGCTGGCTGCTCTGTGTAGCTGTGCTTCTCTGTGTGGCTCAGGAGAGCGTAGTATCAAGGTCACCTACAGACCAAAATGCCACTTGCTTCCTGTTTGGACACTGCTGCCTGACAGTTTGCACCACTGGTCCCCAACCAGACCAAGAGGAGCCACCCCAGAGCTCTACCTTGATGGCTTTGAGAGAGCCGCTGAACAGCATGTTGTGCGAGGAGACCAAAGTGCAAACAGGATTGTCATGTGCTCGGATCGTGTTCACTTTCTGCAGGTTTTGAATATCCCAGACCTGCAAAGGAGAAGAAGAGTGCCCGTGAGGGGCAGGGGCAGGCCCCTCGTGCTGAAGGCCGCCTTCTTTGCCTCTGGACGTAATCACACACAGGCAAAACCACAGGAACAGGGCACTTGGATGAGCCACTGTCCTGGCCTGATCAGGACTGACCACCCTGCCCCAGCTCAGAGCACCAGCCTCCTGCTCCCCACTCAGGAGAGGGGAGCGGGAAATCCAGCCTGCAGGAAACACCCAAATCCAACCCACAAGTAACTTGGCTGACAGCAGTGGATAAAGCACACACTGCTTATCAGTCTTACACCACCGGCAGTTGCAGAGCCTTATAGAGAAAAAGATGCAGGTCCCTGCTCTACAACAGCCTGGGGCTGGCCTGTAGATCTCACATCCCACCCGTGAAGCAGAGCAGGGGTCCTGGGTACTCACAATAATGGTGCAGTCAGCAGAGCCACTGTACAGCTTGTTCCTGTAGTGTCATCAGAAAACAAAAGGAGGTCAGCAAGGCAGAGCAACACGTGCAGGGTCCCAGCTTGTTCCCAGGCACCGTGCTGGGCAAGGAGCTGCAGTCCCAGAGCCTCACTGGGCCAAGACTAAACATACCAACCGCAGGAGCGGAGCCCGGCTCTCATGGGGAGGCCAGGCTGGATTGGCCTTTCGACCAGGAGACCAGGCCAGGCACCCCAACCAGGGAAAGAAGCCAGGACAGCAGGGGAGGCCAAAGACATACTCGCTTTGCCGACTTTTAAAGAGCAAAGAGGCAAGATGTGCCTCTCGTGCTCAATCTTGGCACACGCAGGACCAAGGACAGGAATTGTTAAGGGCATGTTCAGGAGCCCCAGTGCTCTCCCCTCTCTCTCCTGCAGGGGCACGTGTCCCTCCTCACTCACCCCTGGATGCAGAGAGCCAGTACAATTCCATCGTGACCCTCCAAGGTCTTTTGGCACTTGTACGTGGTACAGGTATCCCACACCTAACAGGAAACACAAGTCAGCAGAGGGTCACACACCAGCAGACAGAGCAGCTGGGGACCCAGGCAGGATGTCAGCAAAGCCACAAAAGCACCAAAACGAGGAAACAGGCTGTCACCTGGGCACCTGCCTTCCGGGCTCCCAGGCACAGATAAGCTTGACTAGGAAAGGAAATTTACTGCAAAGGGTCAGGTTGAAGTTAATGACACATTGGACGGCAGCACGCATCAACCCTCTCCAGCTCTGCCTTTCACAGCCCAGGCCACCACAACACACTGAACCAGAGAAGCAGCTCTCGGGCTCCCGCTTTAGCAATGCACACCCCGTCCTAGGGCTCCACTGGCACAGCACAGCCTCCTCTGCCACTGCAAAGGTTTTCCCCACTGAGCACATACCATTCTCTCAAGAGAGGGAACATGAGAATGTGGTGCCCAGAGCAGCCAGGACAGGGGAGAAAGCAATATCCATTTTCTTCCATGTGGTTTTGCTATTGCCCAAAGAAACTAAACCAAAGCTCTGCTCCTGGCAGGGCTAGTCGGCTAGTCATGGCAGCCCACGTGGCTCCCCAGCCCAGCCATCAGCCACCAGCAGCCAACACAGTGACGTTGGGAACTGTTGTTTAGGTTGCACCGGAGCAGTGCTGTCAGTTTGAGTTACTGAAAACAGGACAAAGAAAAACAAACATGCCATAAAATGGAAAAAGGACACATCTGATCAAGGAAAAATGTTTTTTTTTCTAAGATGACTTTTTATAACAAGGGAAAATAAAATCAGAAGCTGAAATAGGCTTGAATGCCTTAACCACCATATAAAGCAAAACCAGCAGCAGGAGGAATGAGATTCTAATCAGGGCTTTGCAAAAACCACTATTTGTCTCTCTATTTCACTATCATATAATGTTTCCTCGCAGGGAACTTTCCCCAACTATAATTGCAAATACTTATTTTAAATTCTGTGGGAGAAACTTTGGGAAGTGACATCCCCCCACCCCACAAACTGCAACTTGGCTTCTGTCCCCCCTGAAGCACATTTACAAATGCAGAAGATACACAGAAAAGGCAAGCTCTTACCTTAATGGTTTTGTCTGAAGAGCCACTGAAGAGCAAGTCTCCTATGGAGTAAACGCACAAACACCAGACAGGGCCCTGGTGTCCCACAAAGGTCCCCTTGCACTTGAAGATCTGCTGTGGATCATAGGCTACAGAAACAAGAGGGCAGGTGAGAGGTGGGAGAACAGTGCTGTGCCATGTCACAGCGAGTTCGGAGAGGACAGAGCTCCCTGCAGTGGCTCGGCAGGTCCTCCTTGCACTTCACATTGTTGCAGGCCAGAAGGAACCACAAGACCCTCCCAGTCTGGCTGGAAGGTCTGATGGCCCACTCCTACAGCTCATCGACTGATCATTGCTTTGAGCCCCAGGACTCATCTCCCTAATGCAACTCCCGGGCTGGACCTCGGGAGGCCAGAGACGCAGAGTCCACCTGACATCTCCCCCCAGCAGCTAATAACGCTGCAGCACTGTGCACTCCCCTTCAGCCAGGGCTTCTGGCAAACTCTCCCATCAGTATTTTCTTCCTGCAGCAGTGGTGACCCTGTGAACAAATTACTGCTGCACCCAGAGACAACTGTTCCTTTGCATATCTGTGACCTTGCCTAAAAAAGGGCTCATTGGGCCATCACCCCAAACCCAGTCTGAGAGGATGGAAACTGTACGCATACTCACATCCAAGGATGCCCATGTTGAGCCGAGCATTAATGTGGGAAAGCTCATCCTGAAAAACAGAACAAGCTGCATGAGCTGCAGAGCCGTCAAGACCAGCCTGCCCTTCTGGGCATGGTTTTAAGCCTGTCCCTCTTTGCTGCTAAAACCACCCTTGCCTCTGGACAGGCCTTGACTCCCTGTGAAGGTCCTCCCTCAGCAGCTGACTCACCCTCTGATCAGAGGTCTCCTGCTCTAGGACTCTATGTGTACATCCCTCTGTCACCTCCCTCCAGAGACCACGGGGCTCTGACAGCGTCTCAGACCTTCACTAAACTCTTCAGTATTCAGGCAGGCAGAGAAATACCTTTCAGAATATACTGTCCTTGCTCTGCCATTCACCAGACTGCTAAAAATAATCGAATTGGTTATGGGGACTGCTTGGTCAGCTGGGCTCTTGAAGCCCACCTTGCTGGAGAAGAATTGGAAGGACTCTCTGTGGTCTCCTCCACGGTCTGGTCCTTACTGCATCCATGGGGACCCTCTTCACGAGTATGCTTAGGTGAACCGAGGTGAGCTCTTCCTAATCAGTACATCCAGTGGGATGCAGTCTGCCTGAACCAGGGAGGAATGTCTACCCAACATCAATGCTTGAATAATGTCCAAAATCACAAGACAGCTCTCACTCCCAGCTTCTTAGCAGGGATCTGCTTATCTTCCTGCTTTCTCTGCAGGCAGGGAGAAGGGCATACTGTCCCTGGCTAGTATAAAAGGTACAGGAGTGCCCAGGATTCGGAGCAGAGGGCTCTCTCCTTGCGTTAATCCTTTCCTCTGTTAACACATTTCCAGAGCAGTAACAGGCTGAGAAAAGGCAGCAGAACCAGATAAAATGGCACCTCAGATGCAGTGACCAGAATGTGCTCACTGAGCTGCCTTTAACTCAGTCTAGAGGAAACCTTCACCCAGACCCCAGCTGCAGTAAAAGCAAACCAAACCTGGGGTGAGCAGAGCCAGCAAGCAGGAGGGAACCACAAAGACTCCCCCCACTGCAGGAGACACCTAACTAGTAGCAGAGCCAGCTAACTGCATGCAATCCCTGCTCCGCCCCAGGGCCCAGCACCCTCCTCACATTCAGCATGGAGGCATCCCTGCGGAACTCCATCAGGTCCTCGCTCAGCTTGCTCTGGTTCTCGTCCAGCACATCTACAAGAGAGGAACAGGCCCATAGTCACTGCAGAGTTAGTGACGGCGTCCAGGGGAACAGGCAGGGGACACCTGCTGCCACCTAACCTCTGAACAAGGAGGGAGGAGAATGCACTGCTGGTATAGGCAGGGAAAAGCAGGAGGGTGTCTGCTACTCAAATGCAAATTGTACTTGTATGCGGCAAATTTTGGAGGCAAGACAGGGCTGGGGACAGCAAAGGTGTGCAAGAACCAGGATGGCTGCATTGTTGGCTATTTGACTCGCTGATTTTTATGGGGGCCTGCGCCCATGGACTGCACAGGAAAAAGTCACAAGAGAGTGGTGGTAGCTGCCTTTCTAGGACTTGCCATGTGACCAGTGACCGCAAGATTAGGTCCCGTGATGTTCTGGCAGCAAAGAAGTTGATGGAACCCCTATTTGTTCCTCTGCAAGGAATATCTGAACCTCCCGAAACCTGCTCAGCACCAGTTTTAAACATAGAATGAATCCTGTAATGCACCATCTTAACAAAGAACTGCCATGTCCCTACAGCTCTGACCACAGAGCTCATCCAGTGCAGACTCACCAAACTTAAGCTCCAGGTTCTTCTCCAGCTGGTCGATTTTCTCTGAGAGCTTCCCCAGCATGGAGCGCAAGAAGGCAATTTCCTGGTCCTTCTGGGCCATTGCCACCTGCATCTCATGGAAGCGATCATCTGTCTGCTGCAGGAACTCCTTCAGACCCTCGAACTTGCACGTCTCCAAGTGGGTCTCATAAGTGTCTTGATTTCCTATGAATGTACACCTACAAGGGGAAGGCAGAGCCTGGCTGGAGCAAGGCTCACCCTGGAGACCTCCTTGCTCAGCTGGCTCCTCAGAGGGAGGTCCGAGGCCTGTGTGGGTCCCCAGCTGTTCTGCTTCTCCTGCCAGAAGCAGTGGTACTATGGTGGTTCACCATCCTGCTGGGTGCAGGCAACTGCAGGGCAACAGAGAGGCCAAGCAGCTCCCATTCTTCTAGCCAGGGCATTGGCCCCAAACGGACCTGTCTGTCTGTCTAGGTATTTGCAAGGAAAAGCAGATCTTGGGCAGAAGACAGAATGTGGTGTCAGTTTGTGTGCTCATCAGGAGCCCAGTCTAAGAGCTATCAAAACCAACAGAAAAAACTGCAGCTGACCTCAGCAGATGCTGACTTGGGCCTGCAGCATGGCAAGGAGTCAGCGCTGCTCTGTCAGGACTCGCCTCGCTCTGCCTCTGCCAAGACATCTCTTGCTGCAGCAGTAACCTTAGCTGTGCACCCTGCAGGGAAACCCCAGCCTGGGCTGCACTCCTGCTCGGGTGACAATCAGCCCTCCGAGACTGATCAGCACTTCCCTTGCCCTGGGAGAAGGACTGGTTTGAAAGACACTGCCACGGTGCTCGCATTACTCTTGTACTCATCCTCCTCCCTGCATGGCCCTGGCCAGATCCACTGCTCTGACTGTCCTCCAGCTGGTTCTTCTGCCTACGCACCTCACCCTCCACCTCGGCTGACAGCAGGGCCTACAGCTGGGCAGCGTGACCTGCCTGCTCTCAACAAGATGCTTGGGGGCTGCCTTCTGCAAGCCCTGAAAGCCTGATCTCAGTCTCAGGCCACTGCACAGCATAGGGTAGAGCTGCTCAGAGCCCATGGGGCTATCCCAAGGCTGCAGTAGCCAAAAAACAGCTCAGAAATGAGCTCAGTGCATCCTTCCCACTAAAAAGCATCAGCTCCTTACCCATATTTGGAGTGGGGACACTTTATGTGCTCGCACTCTTTCAGATGTGCCTCCAGGTTCATTTTCAGGAGAGGTGGGCAGCTGGGGTTATTGGGGCAGCGAACCGGCCTGTAATCACAGCTGCTTTCATGATCTCTGCCCATGGAGAGAAGCAAAAGAAGGGAAAATCAGCGATAAGCAAAAATTAATGGAAACAACACAGATCATCAGTAAAGGAGCAAACCAGCCCCGTGAGACTGTCAGGTGATCGAAAGCCTCCTGCTCTAAGACTGAAATTACAGCTTTAAATTCTCATTTGGCCAGTAAGTTGAGAGTAATAATAGGCCACATTTACACAGGGAACATCTACTTCTGCAGCTGAGCAGCTCAGCCTTCAGGCAGCTATCAACAACAGGCAATAGCCAGGTGACAGGGAAGACAGTGAATGCATTTAGGATGGGCAGGGAGACAGATTTCAGATTCCTAAGATATAACTAGAATAATGCCTCTTACAAAAAGAATCCCAAGGTCTCTGCTTGACCACAGCCACAGTGTTTCAACCCAGATGTGAGGTGGCTGCTTTCACAGTGCATCCCCTGTGCCGATGCTGAGACACTCAGCTAAGCTGGGAGCTGAGAACAGCATCCTTTCCCTGAGAGCAGCCCATCTGCCATCATCCTAAGACTGAGACATAGTGAAAAGAATTGTCCCCCCAAGTCACCCTGCCCACTCCCACACCCCTGCACACCCAAGCAGAGCACTGCTGGCAGGAGCTGCACTGTCCCCAGGAGCCGCAGGGCAGCTCAGATATGACAGCATATTGCTGGTGGTGGAGCCCTTTCCCCGGAGAGGCTGCATGCTGCTAACAAGCCACTTACTTCCTGGCACTCAGTTTAATTGTAAACGGACATCCACGGGGGTCCACCTCGAAGGCAGCAGGCTTGCTGCTGGCTGCAGGCCGGCAGCCATACTTGCAGTGAATGAAGAGCTCCCCGATCTGCTCAGCCACCGCAATGTTGTTAACCACCACGGTCAGTTTGGCATTGTCCACGGGGCACTTCTCTGCCAGGTAGGGAAGCAAAAGAGAGAGTCAGCAAGGACTGAGACACTGCAGGAGCATTTCCAAGAGCCTTTGCATGGAGATTTTGTTCTTTGGCCTTCTCTGGCCAAGATGACCAACTCCCAGATGGGTGGCAGTGGAATGCACGATGAATATTCACACTAGGTCTGCAAGCCACTATCTCTGGTTTGTCTTGGGGCTTGGCGAAAAGTTACAGTTTATGTTAATCCATGATAATCTGAGCTAGCTGGCAAGGAAAGAAGGCCACACTCATTCAGACTACCTTGTGCTTGCTGAAATGTGAGAGTATTTGCAGGCAGTGACCACAGATCAGCACATGCCCTGTACATAACCTGTTCCCCCACCCAGGCCTGGGGCTCAGCTCCTCTGGTGCCAGCGGGGCACTGCAGGCCCAGGATGCTGCGGCAAAACAAAGACCTAAGCTTTGAGGGCAGGAGCAAAACCGAGCAACTCAGGATCGCAACTGCAAATGGCAACTTTTGCTACAAATCTGTTGATTGGGATAGGTATAGCACAACATGGTGACAGGGGATTAGCATGCAAAGCAGAGGGACCCCTCATGTGTGGATGATGAACATCTTAAGGCAGAAAGAGCTGCTCTTTTGCTGGACTCCCCAGGGACTCTCCTCAGGGCTCACTGTTCTGGTAGTATGAATGGTTTGGCTTTGTGCTGGACAACGACTTTCCAAGACAGGCACCGGCTCGTGCCAAATAAAGTCTTTTTTGTAGCACAGAGTCCAAACCAAGCAGGAGCTGGTTAGGCCGGGCCTGCAGTCAGACACTTGGGCTCCACCAGGTTTCTGGAAGAGCTGGGTGAGCCAAAGCAGCTCTGTGTGTTGCCGTGCATGGGCTCTGCCAGCGGCCGGAGAGCTGGCACTAGTGGGATGGGGGAGGAGGAGTCTGATGGGTCTCTGCCAAACACAGCCCCCCTGTTCCTTAGACAGGCAGCCACAGAAAGCTTTCTGGCTGAAATCAGTGGGTCAGCTCTGGGCGAGACATGTATTATCCTGGGATTATCCATTGCATATTCCAGGATTTGAGAACATCCTGTGCCCAAGAGCTGGGCTCAGCCTTCTAGTGCCCATGCTACAGCTTGTACCATCAGAGCTCGGAGCTGCACAGCCACCAGTGCCCCAACCCCTCACTGCTGCAGTGGCAGCCTGTGGCTGACAGCTTGTTTTAAGCCCTTCAGACATCTTTCTGTGGGTTTCTTTTTAAGTGAAAGCAAACAAACCAGAAAATAACAGTGTTTTGGCTGCATCACACAAGAACAGTTCTGTACTCACCAGATGTTAAGGCACATCTTCTACAAAATGTGTGCTGTGGAGACAAAGAAGAACAGCAGTGTCAGCGTAAACAATATCGGACAAATTATTCCCTGTGGCTCACGATGGGAAAGGTGGAAGATACCAAAGCCTGTGGTTCAGGGGCCACAGCAGCTGCTCTGCCTGCTTTATAGCTCAGCGTGCTCTTGAATCTGCACCACAGGGCAAAAACCAGCTGCTTGCTTAGACAGCTGAGAGTGTGACACGGGTCCTGTTCCTGGGAAGTATTAATCACATGGTTTGAGGCTTTGAGGGTTCTGCCCTGTTCAAGGAACAGGCCACGATCATGGTGCAAGCCAAAGCCACGGGTGTGTTCTGCCACACTCTGATATTCCTACCCTCCAAGTCACCATGGGGTTTCTCTATTTCACCCTCCACTTTAGTCCATGCCATTCCTCTCATTTCCCTGAGAGGTCCAGAAGGGGAAGAGCAAGGGGAAGTCTGGCCTCTCGCTGTCCTTGGCCAGTCAGCCCATCACATAAATCCCTCTGTAGCTCTTCTAACGCAGCTGAAGCTGTCCTGCTGTCAGGTGCATGGGACAGCTGGGTTGTAAGCCCATTAAATGCACTGTAAATTTTGCCACTTCAAATAGCTCTCTCTCTCTCCTTACAGCAGAAATGTATAGTAATAGTTTAACTTGATAAAGTAGCAAATACAATCTACCATGCTAATGAATATAAAGAAAGGAACAAAGGCTGTAGCGTTTCGCTGGTCCTGAACTTGCCCCATGGGTTCCCCTGCCACAGGGCCAGCGCTTGGCAGCAGCGCTGAAGAGGCGGCAAGTTGCTCTTCGGAGCTGTTATCTGCTGCCCTGCTCACACGGCCTTTTCCTGCCCTGCACAGCTGCACGGTGCTCTCTCCAGAGCTGCCAAACAGGACTGCAAATGAAGCCAGTCCGCTTCCCGCAGCAGATTTTTTTTTTTTCCATATTAACCGGTAAATCTCACTGTCTCCACGAAGAGCTGCTTACTGAAATGGTGCAGCAAAACAACACCAACTTCCAGCACCTTTGAGGATAGCACCCTCACTGCAATAAACAATCCTGCTCTCTGTTGCTACAGCTCCTTCCTAGCAATCAGAAGCACATCAGAAGCATTAGAGTCCGTCATGAAGCCATCTTTCTTCACATGTAGCACAGAAGCAGGAATAATATACAGTTTCTATTAAATCCCAGTAAAATGGAATATAGAAGAATATTCATAATACTCTGTGCCTTTTATTAGAGGATCTCAAATCCCTTTGCAAGCATTAACTAAATGAAGCTTCAAGCCATTCTTGTTTTATGAAACCCACTTTCGTCACAACTGAAGCGCAGCCGTTCCGGGGGTGCCCAGGAGGCAGCAGCATTCTGCAGAGCCCCTCAGGACAGGGAACGAGGACTTTTAGAGCTCACTGAAGCCACACCAAGGAGACTGAACATGATACAGGGAGGCTGACCGTACAGCTTTCCTGGGAAAAGCTGCCCAATTTTAAGCAAGCCCCAGGCTCCTCTGGCTAATGGCAGAGTGCCCTGCACACCTCACTGCAGACTGGTTCAGAGCTGCCTTGCAGGGAAATCTAGCACATGTCCATCAGCATCTCTGCTCCTAAGCTAGCCTGGCTTCCCTGGTCAGGGGCTGCCTCATCTTTGCTCACTGTAGCTGACAGTCACTAGGGACATTATAACACAGGACATCTGTGGAGCCCACGCTCATGATTTGGAAGAGTACTGCCTTACCCCACAGGTTGTGATGACTGGATCCTTAAACACACTACAGCACAGTTGGCAGCAGAGCTTCACGGACGGTTGTTCAGCAAACACCAGTGGCTCCTGAAGAGGAGGAAAGAAAGGGACAGACGGAGCACAAGGATTAGTCCAAACACAAGAGCCTCCAGCTCTGCAGAAGGAACAAAACAACTCTTCAGCGGTGAGCGTTAGGGAGCCTGAGGCACAGGGCATGCTAAAGATTTCATGATCTCGAAATAAACTTTTGTCTGGATCTGCTGACCTCCAGTACGTAAGAGGTAGGGGAACAATGGCTGGAGCCCCTCATCTCATCACAAACTGGGGGCCACCAGCATCTGGCAGGATCAGGACCCAATAGCAAAATGCACAGACCAGTTTCTTTGCCCGAGTGACTCAAGTCACCAGAACTGTGTGAGCTGCACTGTCTGGTACTTTTTGCTTGGTTGGACTGAAGACTGCGTTGTCAAAAACGTCCCCCGTACAAAGCCTGAAGTTTAAAGGCAATTTTAAAACAGCTTGCCCTTTTGTATTATTGAAACATCCTGAAGGAAGGGCTCTTTCATTCCCTTATGAAGCAGAAACAACATTGTTTCTGCCACAATAGGCCCATCTCTCCAGTTTTGTTTACCAACTAAGGCTGCGGAGCACGGGCTCTGAGCACGTCCTCTCGGAGCAGCACAGCTCTCCACTCCACGCCAGAGCAGGGCTTCGCATTTCAGAGCATTTCAAATCAACCACTACATTTCGGTCTATCTTTTCATCCTGTGCTGCTCTCAGAAATGCAAACACAGCCCCCTGGGTTCCTAAATATGAAACACACGCTCTTATCCCAGATCCGTGGCAAAACGCCGCCTGACCTTTTATGCATCCAGTCTGGGGTTAGTTATTGGGTCACAAGCTAAGCTCAGCTTAAAAGTGTCCTCCCCTAGTGAAAAGTCACATGTGGACAATTCCTTGCACCCCCCTGGGGCTTACAAGCAAGTCAGTGGGGTGCCACGCAGCCCTAAATGCAGGATGGGGCTCTGAATCAGTGGGGCATTGTATTAGTCTTGCTGCCTGGGGCTAGACTACCAGCCTAAAGACTTGCAACCCCCTACTGCTCTCCAGCAGAGCCAGGGAATCACACATGACTTTGCAAAGACTTACCGTTTTTTCTGAGAAGCAGAAAAGCCTCACCATTTCCCCCTCTTTACAGATAGGGAAATGGTACACAAGGAAGCAAAGTAACTTGCAGAAGTCAGTGGTGGAAACAAAATTAAAACCAGGGGTCCTGACAGCCAGGCTTTTAGTTGCCAGATATCACGAAAAATCTGCCCATGATAGCTCTATGTACTCACGGGAGTCCACTAAGTTACTCTTTTGACACTGAACTTCCTAATACTGCTCCTTCAGACAACCCCAAATACCTACTGGCTCCTCCTCTTCCTCATGGAGTGAGAACGTCGAGCGCAAGGACATGTTGGACTCAGAGTGCAATGAACGGACGGAGATAGCAGAGTCAGAGCGGCGTGGGGTGCTGATCGGCGGCTTCAAAGAGATAAAAACCAGTTCTTGTTATTGCAAATAATTCCACCGCTCCAAACCCCTATGCACAGAGACTTCAAGTTCAGTCCCCTCCCTCCACAAAACTCAGCTGCTCCATTTGTTCATCCACTCTGCCAAGCTGCATTGAGCGGCCCCCAGAAGTAGCGCGCCTCGCTGCTGCGTGCCCTTCCCAGCAGCCGGGAACACTGCACCACACTCAGAGACAGGACAGGCATCATTCAAGTTTAACTTACTAAACCAAGCTGACATCTAAATTCCAAGCACATAACTTTCTCAAAGGTGCATTCATTTGTATACTTACTGCGCGCACCCACAAAGCAATGGTTTGGAAGAATTAATCCTTCAAAAAAAAGCTTTGTAAATCTCCCCCCGAGACAGCTACCAGCTTCTGCAACCTCTATAATCTCTGCAGCAGCACTTGTTGTTTCACTCGCTATCTAACTTCTGCCAAATTTCTTTGCGTAAGTGTGGAGACTTCCTTCTATTCAATTCAGTAACAGACTGGCTTTGTCGCTTCCTGCTCGGGAGGGGAGAATTAAGTGGACATTGCATTCACCAATCAAGAAAAATCCCACTGGTTACGGCGGCCTTGGGGATTGGCTTTAAGGGAATGCTGCCACTGGAATATTAACCAGCAGTGCACCTCTAAGGGCGGAATATCAATCAGCAGCGCGTAGCCAAGATGCAATTCGGCGTCAAAGTGAAGCCAGAGACTCTTCAGACCATGGGGTGGTTGGACTTGGGGGTCTAGTACAGCTGGTAGCACAGCCACTGCTGCTGGAAGAGGTGCTGCTGGCAGGCTGGGAAGAGTGGAGAGACACAATAAAAGTCTTCAAGGAGCGGAATGGATGGGCTGACAAAGAAATGTGAGAATGAAGCCATAAGCTTCAGACACTTAGCAGCAAGAGATGACCAATGCCCAGGCTGCCTGCACCTGCACGTTATCACACCTGTATGCGGCTTGATTGTAGCCTGCATCAGTCGCAAACTCCTAGAAGTGCTGGCTGGAAGGAACTCTGGAGATCACTCGCCCTACTGCCCCCTCGAAGAGAGGCTCTCCCGGCCCTGGATCAGGTCAGCCCTGGCACTGCCCAGCTGGAACAGGGAAAGCTGCACAGATGAGACTCGTGAGCAAAACTTTTTTTCCTTGTGTTCAGTCTGACCCTCCCGAGCTGCACTCTGTGTGCTTGCCCTGGGCGAAAGTGTGTGACGTCAGACCCAAGGACAGACAAAAGCAATGTAGGAGGCCAGTGGGGCAGCCAGGAAATTCAGCAATGAAAGATGTAAGATGAGGTTCAGAGACTGCTGCCTTCCCCAGAGACAAACTATACTGCAGTCTGAGTGCAGTCCTTGCTGGGCTGCAGAAGAGGAACAAACCAAGATCCTGCTGGTTCTTCACACTGCTCTGCTTCTTAATTTTTATGATACTGGGATCCTAGGAGCTCAGAAATGCTGCATCTGCTTAGAAGCTAAAGCATAAAGCTCTTTTTTCTAGAAGACAGCATATTTATTGGCTAAATATGTAAACCTTGAGGAGGAATGGTTATAATGAGGTAAATCAATTTTATGTGTATCCATTAATTTTATTATTTTCCTCCACTAGTAACAGAAGTTATTAAAATAACAAGAATGACTGTACATGGTTCCCATTCTGGAGGTGACACAGAGATCAGGACAGCAAAGGCAGACTCTGCAGGGGAGGGTTTTAAAGGCAGGGACACAGTTTTATCAAGAGCAACATTCTGTGTGGATCATCAACGGAGCAGGGGAGACTGCAGCCCAAGAGCATTTCCAGGAGGCAGGGGTGGGAGATGCAGCCTTGCTAGGCTTGTGCAACACTGTGGGCTCAGCTCCCTGTGCCCTGGCTGGGCTAACGCTGGTGTTAACTATGCAGGACAGAAGCTGATGTGTTGAGAAAGATGACTCTGCTTGGGCCGCGGAGTCAATGCTGAATGGCAGAGGTGTGTGCTGGTGTTTACTGTGCCTCTAGGTATTTGCAGCCTTTGTTTTTGCCAAGCAAACAAGGCTTAAACTGAAGAGACCTCAGCTCTACAGAGCCAGCCACTGCACTGCTTCCCACTCCTAGCCTGGCTATTTAGACTGAGCTTTGCAGCACTAGTCGTGCGTAGGGCAGCCAGCACAAGGGGACTGACTGTGGGGTGCTCTTGCACTGCAAACAGAGTAACAGGGAGCAAGGATCACAGAACCCCCACCCTATGGGCATCTGCCCGTATGCACCAAAGCCAAGGAGCACCAGGCCCTGCCACAAGGTTTGCAGTTCAAGGTCTGCAGAGTTCAGGGGCAAGGCGGCACAAGTGGCACTGCTTTCGTCAGGCTTGGATTTGGGAGGATCTGTCAGAACGGTCCCACCTCCCCACAGCGGTGCCAGGGCTATTTCTGCACCAAAGATCAAGTCCATCTTCAAACAGCCCAAGGATGGAGTGCTCAAACATCTTTTGATGGAAGATGGACAGCTTGTGGCTGGCCGCTAACTCAGTCCAGCCTCTGGTTCAGAGGTGAAGCTCCCTGTAAACAGCTGAGACTTTAGACAGCCAGTCAACTCTTCATCATTACACATTTCATCAGTATACAGTTGCCCCAATATTCGGCCGTAATCTCTAGGAGCAGTTCCCATCACATCAGCTAGAAAAGCAGCCTCCTCCTGAAGGCTCTAGTACAGTCCTTGTTCCTGTTCCCTGTAGGCACAGCGAGCCTGGAAACCCATGGCACTGTTTTCAGGAAAGATGACAGCAGCTGCTCAATAATCCCTGCCTTGTATGCCGAACACGCTGCTCTGCTTTTGGTTTCATTAACAGAAGCTTTAAAAAGAAAGAAAAAGGGGTAATGGAGGTCACAGGAGGGCTCTGACTCGTCTCCAGCTGTCTGATGGCTGACAAGCCCCTGGCAGCTTCTGGAGAAGGAAAAACTTAGCAATGAGGAAGGGAAATCCCAGATTATTTCTTGATAAAGCAAAGGAAGCTTCCTAAAAGGGTTAGTGAGAGTTTGTCTGGAGCAGCAGGCAGAGCAGGGCTGTGGCGCTTCTGGTTTGTTAGCACCTCACGCTGCTTCCCAAACCACTCATCAATCCTCTTGCTATTTTCACCTAAGAATATTTAGCACTCCAGGGAAAGTGGGCTGAGAATGTCCAAGAGGACTGAGGCTAGGTCCTAGGAGAGCTCTCTCCTGTTCTTGGCTGCACACCTCAGTTCATGACACTGGGGTTTTCAAAGGAGTCAGGGAGCTTCTCTGTCAGAGAGAACTATGTGGCTAAATGTAATATCCTCAGCACTCCCCACTCCTCTGGAAAAATCCTCACCTATGCTCTGTGAGAACTGCACAGCTCGTGAAAAGGGTGCAGCGAGCACAGCACTCAGCCCACGGGATCAGTGCTGACAGCCAAGGGCTTCCTGGAACAGTGGCCCAGCACCATGGGGGCAGTGATGTGATGGAGAGTTGCATTTGCCAAGGACAGGAGGCAAACGTTCAAAGGACTTTTGGAAAAAAGATAAACCAAAAAAACACATGTTCACATAAAACACAGCAAGATCTCCAAGCAACAGAAGGAACTTTATAGGATGCTGACAATAAAGCTTTTTGCAATCTGGTGTCAAATTTATTTTAAGAAGTGTTGTAGCTCCATACTGTTGCTGACCTGAGTCTTTGCCAGTGCCTAACTTCAGCAGCAGCAGTGATCCATTTATCCCTGGCTTGGAAGCTGGGTCTCATAACCTGACAAAGTCTACAAGTACTTAATTTGAAGTCTACTACTAACACTTAAATCTAAACAGCAGCCTGTGGTTGTGAGATGTGGCAGGAGCACTAGGGACAGAAGGTCAAAGCCTCAGAGCTATCGCTCCATTCCCTGAGGTTTGCTTTGCTGTTGCTGCTCTTGATTTAATTGATTTAGTTGATTTAATTGATTTAGCTCATTTAATTTCTCTTTAAGCAGCTAACCCTGAGGCCTGTGGGATCACTAAGTTCCCCAAAACAGAAGTTACTCAGAAGCAAGTGTGATGAATGAGAAAGCTGGATGCAAAATTGGGAAGTGCTTTTCTGCAAAGATATTGTGACACATGGCAATGATTTGTGTGAGAAGACCCCGATGATGTAATTCCCAGGAGCTGAGCATAACCTGTAGTGCCTGGCATCCCACTCTGCAGGTTTCAAACCTGCTCCCTGTGGTCAGAAGCCCCATCTGGAGGTGGAAATAGGAATGGATCTTCTGGTCATAACTGCAGGGCCAGCTGTGATGCTGGATAGTCCATCCACCACACCCTGATGGAGACTGACTGGCCTCAGTCACAGCCCCAGACATCGCTGACAGTAGCTCTGCTTTCTCTTGAGCTCAGAAGACCCAGAGCACACTGCTCATGTCAGGAAGCCGGTACACCCTCACAAGCAGGCCTGTGGGATCTGTAGCTCCTGGGCTTTGTAACCACGTACCATTTTCAGGCAGTTTGAATATGAGCACTGGCAGTACCAGCCTAATGCCCCAGGTCAGAAGTAGCCTCTGCTTCCCCACTGCTCCAACCATGGGAGCAGCCAGGAAATCACAGAATCATAAAATTACGGTTGGAAGAGACCTCAAAGATCATCAAGTCCAACCATATACCCGATGTCACCATGCCCGCTAAACCCACTAAACCATGTCTTGAAGTGCCACATCTAAACATTTTTTGAACACCTCCAGGGATGGGGACTCCACCACCTCCCTGGGGAGCCCATTCCAATGCTTAACGACTCTTACAGTGAAGAAGTTCTTTCTAATGTCCAGCCTGAACCTCCCCTGGCACAACTTGCTGATGCTGAGGCTGGTCCTGCCTCCGGTGCAGACATCTGCCTCCGATACAATGCAGCACATGGGAATGATGAGGGAGGCAGAGAAGTCCAGAGGAGCACCAGACACCTCTCATTTGACATATAATCAGCTAAGCCAGTCAGCAAGGGGGCTCCTGGCAACACTTACCATGCCATCGTCCTCATCTCGTGGGGAGTAGGTGAGTGTGCTGGAGGAGGATGGGGTCCGACGATGCTGTTTAAAAGTATTGGTCCCGTCAGCTTTAAAGCAAATAAGAAAAAAAGAAAGCATTTAGGCTCCTCAGTAACATTTCCAAGCTACGGATCAGTCACTATAGCTGTAAGTGTTCATCAGAAAAGGAAAAGACTAGGGATTCCCCAACTCCAGTGCACCACCTGGGCATATCAGTGCAGGCAGAACAACCCTGATCTCTGAGAGCTTGCTGAAATGCACGCGGCCCTTTGAAGGTAGCTCGCCCAGAAAACAGGACAGATAATATTCTACCAGGTCCATACGTTAAAAATACTACTAAAAGGAAACCTTATACTCCCACATATCTCAGTCACCAACAAAAATTGCTTCGATCAAGGGATATCTGCATATTCTTGTAGCACAAAAGAAGCATGCTAAATTAAATATGAGATCATATTACTGACATATGAAATTTTGAATGTAAATACTCAGGAGTCCAAAAACATCTAGAGTCCAGAGTCCTGGACAAATGTAATCCAAACATTTTCCTCCAGCAGATGTTCGTTTCCTTGTCTAAATCAGTGCCAAGTGCCACAGGTTGTCTTTACTAAAGTAAGGATATTTGTATTCCAAAATGAAACCGGACCTCTTCCTACATTCACACCACGTGTCAGGGCTCAGACTCCTCACCTGCTGGGCTTTGAGGAACAAAGCACAAGAATTTTAAACGAGCAGGTACATTTGCACCCCCTCCTGTCTGAGCTAAAAACGGCCGCGGGGGTTTTACCAAAGCGTCTAGAGTGACTCACAATCAGGCAGAGAGCGAAGACGGGAATTTTCAGCGCTGGTAATGATTGCGTGAGAAGTCATAGGGATAAATAAGATTTGGTACTGAGCTCTGTATCAAACCCTGTTGCACCATCCTAATTTCAGCAAGGGCTTCCCAGTGGTACTGTTAAACTCGCCTAACGGGAGAAAATTTCTGTGCATGCTCATTTCCATCATGTCTGGTGATCAGATGCCATGATTAAGGAACACTTGGGCTGCGTAATACTAAAAACAGCACCTCGGCACCCGTCTGTAAAGAACACAGTGATTCTCCCAACAGCTTTATGATTTGTAAAACAACAACAACAAAAAACCTGGTAGGAATCACTCATAGTGCTTTGGGGAGAAGCTCTACGCATGAAATGCACTCACCCTTTGTGATGGTCGTCACAGCAGAGTAGGCTGGCCCAAAAGTTGTTTCCATTCTTGTCTGAAACATGGACAAAATGCAGGTTAGTGCGTATCACTGCAGCACAGCCCAGAGGCTTGCTACCTTTACTGAATTGGTGAAAAAATGTACATACATATACCTAACTTTTCTCTGTGGATACTGTGATTTTTAAGAGGCAAGAAAATACCGTATTTGCAACACACATCTTCATTTTCTCAAAAGAAGGGGTGAGAACATAAGAAGCAGCCCTAGCTGCTGTCCTCTGCCAACACCACTGAGCCTTACCCCGTTAGTGTTTTCGGAAGTATTGATGTTTGTTGTGCCACTGGAGAAACGATTGTAGCGAGCGTTCTTGTTTGAGCTCATAATCTAGGCCAGCATTTGTTAGTCATGGGAAGTTTGCTCTGTGGAAGAAGAAAGACAAAAAGAGAGTTAGGGTCATTGTATGTATTCTCCTGGGCTCAGAGAACACTTTCCTGTAGCATTAAGTCCAAGTATTTACCTAAACTCACATAAACCTGGATTTTCAGAAGCAAGTAGCAAGGACAAAGTCAGGTTCCTTCAAATCATTCCTGGATGAGCGCTCAGCATTTTCTAAAAAGACGGTGATCTTTTAAAATAACTCTGTAATCGCCCAAATACTGGAATACCCATAATCATTAGCTGCTTTTACAAGTATACGACTGTTTTAACAGCACATAAGACTTCTCAGGGGACTACTCCAAGATAGCATGCCACTGGCCATGGTACACATCACTTTTTTCAAAACGAGAGTGTGTACCAGCTGGGACTGACAGTCCCAGCAGAGAAGAACCCTGCGCAGGCTCTGGATCTGGTCCTCCCTCCCTCCCCCAGTTTGAGTGTAGTTCAGAAAGCAGGCTGCCTGCTGCTTCCCAAAACACTTTGCACGGAGCAGTGATTAGTAAGCAGGGTCCTGAAAGGGAGTGCCCTCCACAAGACACAGAGACTGCGAACACAGAGCAGACTGTACCGTGGCAGGCAGAGGGATTTCGGCTGAGGCCGTAGACACAAGCATGATCTTTCAGCATGCCGGGGAGCCGAGTGCACAGAGGGCAGAAAAGGTCTCTGGGTGTAAAGCTATACCAGTAAAACTTTTATCCCATTAACTGCGAGGCTCAAGCTGAGCTGCCCTGGGAGCCCAGGGAGCTTGTTCACCCACAGCTTTGCAGCTCAGGCCACATTCTAAGCACATGATAGAAACATCCCAGTCAGTCACCTGGGGCTTGGCTTCAGCACGAAGGGTTGGGGCTGCCTTCCTCCCCCCAGGACTACCCACCGCCAGACGAAGGAAGAGGTGCCCTGGAAGCTCAGCAGCCCCACGTCCTCATCCCCTGGGGTGGCAGAAAGAGATCCCTCCAAGGCAGCCCCTTTCCCAGGCAGGCTGTGCAGTGCTTTCTGGCACTTCCAGCCAAGGAAACCAAAGCCTAAACTTCCCTGCACCCCCAGAACTTGAGGCTGCCTCATATTCAAAAGTGTGATGAGCACGGGCCTCGTCCTGTTTTTGTGATGAACTCAGTGGGCGTTTTGCTATTTAATTCAAAAGCCCTGGGGTGTACTGCTGAACACAAAAGCCAGGGCAAGATCTCAGCAGAAAGCCAGAATCCCACATTTGATTTAGTTATATTTGCATTAAAGGAGTTCTTTCCAGCACAGTCAGAGCTAAGAGATCAAGGAAACCATGAAAGAAACCTTACTTGAGGTAACATGCCTGTGGTTCTGGATCTCACTCCCAGCTTCTGCTCAGAAACCAGCAAAGTCTGGATCATCATCCAGAAAGAGAAAACCTCCTCCCCAGAAGTCAGCAGAGGGGCTCATTTCTCTTCCTCCATTGTTTACACAGTCTTTTACTAGGTTCAAGTTTGCAAAGTCAAGTATTACACAATAATAATCTGCAGAAACACACAGAGTTTGCTTTGTTTAACCTCTGTAGAAACCTGATGCTGGTTTCAGGGCACAAAATTATGCTGTTGTCCCAGCGAATCTGACAAGATGCTCTCAAAGAGTCTCCTTGGGAGCCAGGGTACCCATAGGTACCCATAGGGAGGAGCTGCTCTTCCTCTCTGCCATCGTACGGGGATGCTTCTGGCTTGAGCAGAAGTTTCCATCTTCAGCAGGGCACTGAGCCCTCCTCCCAAGCTGCCCCTTCATCCTTGCAGCTGAAAGGTGCTGCTTGCACTCCCTGGATGTCCCAGCCCGCCCAAGGAGACAGGGACCCTGCGCTGAGGAAGGATCCCACTGAAGAGATCCCCTTCTGCCCAAGGTATAGTTAAGTCTTGGCACTTTCCCTGCCAGCAGCAGAGTCCAAGGGCTAAACAGACAGACATCTGCAGTGAGGACAGACAGGCCAAAAATGATTTACAAAGACACAACCAAAATCCTTTTTTGCAGGACAAGAGCCAACCACCAGTGAAGGGCGCCGGGGAAGAAACACCCCGCACATGCCTGCGATCAGCCAGCGCAGAGCTCCCGGTCCCTGCCAAGACGGCATCGCTCCGGCCAGGCTTTTGCACCCCTGCTGCTCACGTTTCCAACTTTCGGGGAGGTGAAGTGTCTTGGGTGTTTCCAGCAACTGGTTTTCTCTTATCTGAGAGTGAGAAGTCCTAAATCGCTCTACAGAGGAGACCACTGTGATTTCTCCACTTTACAGAAGGGGCAACTGAGGCTCAAAGAGAGACACGATCACACAATGGAACTGTGACCTGGGACTGCCCAGAGCCTCCTTAGTCCCAGCCAAGAGCATACCCACCTCCCCGTCGAGCCCCAGCACAAGGCTGCCTGCACACAGGGCCCGTTGCATCCCACACTCACATTTTAAACACTGCAAAGGAGATACCCAAGCTGTCCTCGGCCAATGCTCTGCTAACGGCCGACAGCCCAGCCATGCCTGACACAGCACTTTGCGTCGCTCGCTGCGGTTCTTTATCGGACAACTGTCAGGCAGCCAGGTTACAGCAGCAGCGCAGTCCAAGGAATCACTCCTCGGGTCTAAATTCTGAAAAAGCTACAGTCTAAAACAAAAAAACCAAAATGCCAACGAAAAAATAAACAAACAGAATCCCCAAAACCAAACACAAGACCATCTTAAAAACAGAGATCTGGATAATGTTTTCCACACATTTGAAAGCAGTGTCCTGGCTGTTGGCAATTGCCACATCCCTTAGGAGACGCTAAGCAGAGTTGCTGGAGTTGTCTC